TTGTGAACAATTATACTATCATTCTCCCTAAAGAATACTTTTTCGTAAATGTTTTTGTTTTCCCTGTTGAAACATCATCCTCACTACATGCCATTTCCATTTCCTAGTTTAAGAGTCTCTCGGATGTTTGTCCATACAAGTCTTCTCTTAATTTTTTATAATTTATCCTCTTGTCATGACTAAAGCTAGTTCGATAAGAAAATTTCATATTGCCATCAACCTTTCGTGCTGCTGCAAACCACCTCCATTTCCACTACCGCCAAAGCACTCAGGGCAACTGCCTTCAGCCATCATGTGTAGTGTGCCTGCCAGTTGACCACTGCAATGAATCATATATTGTGGCTTTCTAATCTTCCACTATAATCAAAGTGGAAGTCTGAAACCCTGTTTCCTCATGCGTACATGCGGTATAAAATTTTTGTGTCCTTAACTACATACTTCTCTTGGTCACTGAAAGCTAAAGCTTGAAATGTGCACGGCAAGAAGATATCTAACCCATGAAGTACTTAAATTTAGGGGTGTCAATTGTGTTGGGTTAAGCGAGTTTATGACGGGTCTAATTGGGTTCGTGTGAAAAACTATTCAACCTGTATACGATTCATTTAATTCGTTTAATTAAACGGGTTAAAATCTACAAATCGAACATGATTCGTTTATTAAACGTTTATAAGATACGATTCGTTTGACCCGTTTAATAAACTCTTTCTATTATTATAATAAAAAACTATTTATTAAACTTTTTTTTAATTGATCTAATAATTAAACTGCATATATCATTCTGACTAAAAGAATTTGAATAATTATTAATTTCTAAGAAGTATGGACACGGATACGCCGACACGATATTTCTCAAAACTTTTATACATCTTTTTGTTTTTATTATTATATTTGGAAAGTATAATTTTTAATATATCTAGTGTTAGTAATTATATGTTTTCAATGTTAATTACATTTCAATACTTATTTTTTGTGTTAGTAGTAGACATATTCTAAAGAAGTGTCGGATTCGTTACCAAAAGAATGTTGGACACGTGTCTGAAATTTAAATTTTACACGAATAAAAGAGTATCGAACATGTGTCCGAAAGTATCCAAAGAGTGTCGGTGTTTGACATGAATACGTCACATTCTCAAGAGTGTCCATTCTTCACAGTTATTATATTAATTTTATTTAAACTGGTGATAAATAGGTTGACACATCTCACCTGAACACTACCAGTTTATTAAACGGGTCTAGTGAAACCACATGTTTACCATCCATACCCGTTAATACTTCACCCAAACAATTAACCAACACAGAGTTTAATTGTGTCGTGTCGCATTTTGACAGGTCTATTTAAATTCTAACTTTATCAATTCCTTTGGTGGATCTTTTGAAAACAATTTTTTTTTCTATCCCATGGCAAGTGATGTTTTGAAACAATTTTTTGTGTCAGAAATTCAGAAAATAAATCAATTGTCTTGGATTGTTGGTAAAATTGTTATTTTAGCACCATAATGGTCCAGGAACACGTAATCCCCCTCCCTTTTTTGGTTCAATTGGAAAACCGTAAGTACTATGATTTTACTACTAGAGAACTCCTATAGGCTTATCGACCTTTTAGTGTACTCAGCTGAGCATATGATTCAGAATTCTGCTGTGATTTTTGTTGCAATATTCATAATATCAAAAAAGGAACCTAATGATGGGCATCGACAATTCAGAAGTTTGAAGCCCATCTTGGACTATTTTCTTCTCTCGTACTACAGTAGGTTTGATAGGTGTTTGTTCCTTTCAGAAATGTGAAATATTTTCACTAATGTTCTTGCAGATTGCTCTATCTTCCTGGAGCTATTACAGCTGGGGTCTTGGGTTTCTTGGTTGACATGCCAATGTTCTCTTTTATTGCCCTATGTAAATGCCCTTACATGCTGTTTAAGGGGTGGCACCGTCTGTTTCATGACTGTATAGGTCGGGAAGGGCCTTTCTTGGAGACAATATGTGTACCATTTGCAGGCCTTGCTATCTTATTGTGGCCATTGGCTGTTGTTGGCGCAGTCTTAGGCTCCATGGTGTCAAGTATCTTTTTGGGAGCTTATGCCGCTGTAGTTGTTTATCAGGTTAAAATTGCCTTTTCTTCCTTAATATTTATGATTCAGTGCCATTTCTAACACTTTTCAAAAGACTCATAATGATTCAAATCTGTCATTTTGTACTTTTCCTTTATCCTATTTTTGTGAGGTAATTTGGATCCCTACTCGCTTATGATTTATTTAGAAAGGAAGTTTTGGCTTAAGCTTGGAGTCAATGGTAACCATGTAACACCTTGGATTATTTCCAAGGCTGAGAACCATGTCAATATCCTTGTTACATAAATAGTAAACCAATATTTAACTGTTATATTTGACGTTGACTACAGGAATCCTCTTTCTGGTTGGGGCTTTGCTACATCATTGCTTCCTTGTCCATATTCGATGAATACAGCAATGATGTTCTTGACATGCCAGAAGGGACCTGCTTTCCTAGGTTTCATTCACTACTATAGTTTTACTCTTTTTATCTGGGGTTTCTGCTTTGATATGCTACAACTTTTGGCAAATTTTAATGAATTTGCAATATCAAAACAGGCCTCAATACCGAAAGAAGGCTTCAGCAGCGCTAACCAGCTCTCGTACCACTTCTTTCTCAAGGGCCGACTCTTCTCGAAATTTGTCCACTCGCACAGTTTCATTTAGGAATAAGATGGTTGAGTTGTGGCCACTTGAGGTGTGTTGTTTGTATTACATTTGACATCCTGAAGGATTGCATTATCCGGTTCTGAAATTCTGTTTGGTGATATTTGGACAAATTCCTGTTTTACTGCTAATTTAATCTCGCTACATGGCCCTTGTAGTTACTTGATAGCTTATTAAAGGAATGTCAACGCCATGGGGAAATAATGGTTTCTCAAGGGCTGATTACCCTTAAAGACTTGGAAGATGCCATGTCTAGTAAAGATAGCGGCAGAGTTGTAAGCATTGGTTTACCAGCTTATTGCCTCTTCCTGGCACTTCTGCGTTCTGCAAAAGCCAACTCTACTGGATTTTTGCTAAGTAAGTGGAAGAAAATATTTTCCTATGAGCATTTGTCGTCCCTCCCAACAGTTGGACCACATGCAAACGAAATGATTACGGGAACATGTTTCTCGTGATGCAGGTGACAATTTCACTGAGATAACTAGCGCAAACAGAGCCAAAGATACCTTCTTCGATTGGTTTTTCAATCCACTTTTAATAATTAAAGACCAGATCAAAGCTCAAAACCTCTCTGAGACTGAAGAGGAGTACCTCGGTAAATTAGTTCTGTTACGTGGTGATCCTGAGAGGTTGAAAAACTCAAATATTGGTTCACCACCTGAATCTGAGCTGAAAAGAGCTGAACTTGATGCATTAGCTCGAAGGTAACCCTTTTAAATTTTGTCAATTCATGTAATTATTTTACTATTTTCCTTGTGGTTCTCATTCTTGATTTCCCCTATTCTTCTACTTTTTTTTTTTTCACAAAGACTTCAAGGGATCACCAAATCTATATCCAGATATCCTACATATAGGCGTCGTATTGCTACTAGCATCAAGACCATATCATCAGAACTTGCCAAGAGAGATAGTAGCAGCAAATTTATCCATGAACCTCAAGCAGTTCCCCGGTCAAAAAGTACTTTTACCCATTTATTTAGCCAGACATCATTTAGAAGCAGAACAAACAACAATGAGTCTGATCCAGAGGCTCAGGCAGTTGGTGAAAGAGATGTTTCTATTGAATAATGAGATTCACTTGTCACCCACATCTAGTTATTAGTTTTGCAAGGTAATTGCTATTTTTTAGATATTTTTTCATGCAACAGAAGTTTGGCCTGATTGTATTTAGATTTGGTTCTTGCCATTATGGTTGGTTCTTTCTTGCTATTTTGATTGGTTTTAGAGGCCTCCACGTATTTCTCTCCTTTTTGGATATGTAATTTGAACCCGGAATTCAGCTTAAACGAATTTATAATTGCCCAGTTTGTAAGCATGGACATCACATGCGAGTCTCAGTTTTCTTTTTGCAGGATGAAGGAGAGGATAGAATTCTTGAGTAGTTGCACTTTAAGAGAGACATTTGCTCTGCTCTGTTCTGTTCTGTTCTTTATGCCCTGTTTGGTTTAAATGAAAGTTGGGTGGATGGAAAATGGTGGAAAGAAAGTTGGGTGGATGGAAAAAATTTTCCCTGTTTGGTATCAAAGCAAAGTATGAGGGGAAAGGAAAAGTGAAGAGAAAGCATTTCGCTCTAGCCTGTAAATTTTTTTTCTCCCCAAAAGTGGGTGGAAAGTGGGAAGGAAAAGTGGGACAATCTATTTTTTAAAATAAATATATTTTTTTGCCCTTCAATATATTTTATTATATATATTGTATCGATACACAATTCACTATTTAAGGATAAAATTGTAAATTGGGAATGCATATTTTTCCTTTCTTTTCATTTTTCATCCAACACCAAAAGATGAAAAATATCTCTTCTACTTTTAATCTCTTTTACCAAACAAAAATGAGGAAAAATATTTTTTTTTTTATTTCAAGGATGAAAAATTTAGAACTTTCACTTTTCTTTCCTTTTTTCTTTCCTTCGTTCGTACCAAACGAACCATTATTCTTTTGTATAGATGAACGTTAAGGGACCATAGATTTGAAAAAACAATAATGAAATGTGAATTACTTTTATATACCACCTTGTCTACACTGCCTGATGTGTTATAATCTCAACCTTTAAATACATTACAAGGAAAGCAACTTACAATGTAGAATTTAATGCACAATAATTAGTCTCCAATTAGATTACCGTTGAGGGAAAACAACAAACATTGACGCACTTTGGGGTGTGTTATTCACGAACCGAAAACGCCCTTAGAGCTGAAAAACCTTCCAAACTCCTCCTCCTACTCCACATCTTCATGCCATATAGGGAAGGGACTGCCTGTCTATTCTTTCTTCCTAGATTCTTTGAGTAGTCCCCTCTCTCGAACCCGAAGGCAGAATCGCAGGCGCCAAGCATCAAAAATAGATTCAGGCAATGAAGATACAAAACCACACTGAAGAGAATGGGGCCAGTAAGGTGTGCAGCGAGGTTCATAGCCTATCCAGCGCATCGCAGCCTGAGCATAACCGTCTATTGATGGAGCAAAGAAGGAGGACCTTTTGATTGATGACATCCTCGTCGCCACATACAGTGGGATCTAAAGTAAAAGAGAAGCTCTTAGAATTGAAATCACGATGGAGCTTGCATAATTCTTTTAAGTTCTTTGTTTTCCATAAAAAAAGAAATTACCACATATTACAAAAACCAAAGCAAAGTGCAATGAGAGAGTTCTAGCAAAAGTCACAGAATCAAAAAGACAGTTTTAGATGTCACGGCCAAGCATCAATGAGCACAAATTGATCTGATCCTTCGAGGGTGTTCTGTATGTCCATTAAGACGATCTTTTCAGGAAGTTTTGCATGTCCATTTAGCTGTAGCCTGTAACCCGCTTAAAGGGCATGTATGTCAAAACATTTTATTTTCTTGAGGATGCAAGACAGAAGAGGCCAAAAACCATCTAATTTCCACCACCTATATAGAGCTATTAGAAGTGAACATTCAGCCCCTACTGAAAGTAATCCTAAAAAAACATTTGTCAATGCTAGAATCTAATACCATTTGCTCTATTTAATTAGATATTAGAACAGTACAACATATTCGTGAGCCATGCAGAAAAAATTCCACTACTTATACAATTACTAAACCTTTTAGGTTTGAATTAAGATCAACCATCTGCAACAAAAGAAAAAAACGTCCAAATCACATCAAATTACACCAAACCAAAAGCATGGAGGATATCGATACAACAACTGAATTAAATGGCAATCTATCCAATCATATCATAGTTACAAGCTATGATGACTCTGGATACAGAGGATGAACAAAACAGAGTTCCTATAATGGCAACAAAATACTGTATAAACTTACATGTACTGAGAAGCTTACTAGATGATGTAAAATAAGGCATACCTGACACTGCACATCAATACCACTCTTCTTGTACTCCACATAGAGGCATCTTGAGAACTGGTCAATATATCTGAAAGTAAACCCACTAATGTCATTCAATGTTTTATACAATTACGAAAACCAATTTTTATGGTAATGCATATCGTGAAAAAGTTTCCACAAGCACAACAAACTTAACAACAATCCTCCAGTATAACAAAGAAAATCGGAGGACAAAAAATACAAGAAAAAAGAAAATGAAGCGATTATTGTTAATTAAGAGTAAGACAATGACAAGAGTTCGAAATTCACCAATTGCAATGTTCTGTTTAGAAGAATCATGTTTGTAAACCCACGTTATAATTTATAAGTTGACCAGTTTGGTTAGATACTGCAGGGAAAGATATTGTCAGAAAAAGCTACAAGGTGGGTTCAATTATGTGTCGCACTAGTTGAATTGACTTCTATGTTTTCTTAAGACTTAAAAGTTTTAAAGTCTTTTGGTTTGTCTTCATTAATACTCAGTCCAGACTTACAATTGAAAAGAAGAGAGTCCACCTTATAAACTGGGGGTATGCAAACCAAAGAAGAAAGGAGGATTATGATTAAGGAAAAGCAGAAAAAATAACCTGGCGTTGTTATCAAACTAGGGTGGAAAGTGAAAACTAATCAGAAAGCCTTTTGGGTAGATGCAATCAAAAGTAAATACACAAAGGAGAACCTAAGGATCTAGGAACAAAAATCTAATGCCCCCTCCAATTTGGAGAGCAATCTTAAAACTCGGGATATCTTAGATAAAGGCACGAATGTTTAATAAGAAATGGAGAAAACATTGCTTTTTGGACAGAATGGTAGATGGGGGATGGACCACTGCTGCACAGAGTTCCAGGGCCAGCCCCAACAGTATGGAAAAAAAAGCATGAACTTTAGACCCCAAATTTTTAGAAGGCCTCATAATTTTAGGTACATCACTAATCCACAAAAACAAAATTAAATCAATTAAATTTTAAGCCTACAAAAAAACCCCAAAAAATTAAATCCAATCAAATTTTTATTGCAATATTTTGGACCTATAATCCAATCCATCACATAAAAAAAATTAGAAAAAAAAAAAAAAAAAAATCAAATAACTCATCTCTCTCTCTCTCTCTCTCTCTCTCTCTCTCTCTCTCTGTGGTAAAAAAAAATAAAAACCAAAACAAAAGTTGAAATTAAACGCTCTCTCTCCCTCTCTGTGGTAAAAAAACAAAAATTAAAATTTCTTTTTCGACGATATTAACACATCCTTCTTTTGTTTGCCTCTCACTTAGAAAATTAAAAATAAATTAATTTCTTTTTAAAAAAATAATACTAAATATAAAAAAGCCTCCATTTAATGTTTTCGCTTTAGGCCTCAAATTAGCTTAAGCTGCCCCAGCAGAGTTCAAGTTCTTCAACCTGCCAAATTGGAGACCATGGTAACTAGAGATTGCAGGAAGCAGGTATGTTCTTAACTCAACATATCCTAGATGACATGAATTTTACCTCACTGCCTGCGGCCTTAGTTCACCAGGATACACCATGTTACGGCTCTGAAAGCAATGGGGTATTTACATCAAAGTCTGCATATGAACTTTTAATTAAGGAGGATGCCTCAGATTATCCAAACCTGAACTGGGAATGGATATGGAAGGTCAAAACTCCATAAAAAAATGAAATACTTCTTGTGGCTTGTACTGAATGACAGAATGTTATCAACCACCAGAGAGCCGCAAGAAGTTTGACTATGAATGAATCATGCACTAGGTGTAATGCTTCATCAGAGACATCTTTACATTTCCTTAGGGAATGTCCCAAGGCTCAGAAAGTTTGGTGTGCCTTTCTGGAGGAACAAGAGAGACAGGCAGACCAGATTATGAAATGGATCCAAAGGAATGTGGGGGATAGAAAGAAACTGAAATGGAGAAACATAGAATGGCCCCTGAATGCTCGAAGCTAATATTTGCTAGAGATATCATGAATGCTTTCCAGTTTGAAGGCGCATCTAAGGTTAGGAAAGAAATCAGACTAATTGGGTGGATTTTTTCCTATGCTGGCTGCCTCAAGTTTTATACCGATCAAGGCCTCTAGATAGTAGGCTTCTGTGGAAAACTCAACAGGATGATAAGTGTTGGTACATTTTAATATTATATATAATTTATTGAACTAATGGATAATATTATATATAATTCATTGTACTAATGTATAATATACATACACTAGTCATAACCCGTGCCTGAAGGCACGATAAAATATAAAATTCAAGCGTTTAAAAAATCGATTCCACCATATTAAATTTTTTCAAAATACATTAACTACAAATTAATAAATTTTAAATAATTAAATATATGATAGAAATGAGTGATGTGATTTTTAAGGAGGAAATATATAATTGATTAAATATATGATAGAAATGAGTGATATAATTTCACGTTTGAGTCTGACAAAAGAATGATGAGTGAGATAAGTAATTGGTAATGGTTTTGAGGGGAAAAATATGACTTGGATAAAATTCAAACACACTTCTGTTTTATTATATAGATGAATCTTTATATATAATATATTATATATATCCATGTATCATATTATTATATACATGTACATGAATATTATCTTAATACATGTATTTGTCATTTTTAATACAAGAATCATATTTATTACATACATGTATAAGTTATATACATATATACATGAATGAGTTGTATACATGAACTCTATAAATTCTTAAGAATCTATATAATAAAACACATAGCAACTTAAATTTTTATTCCCTACATATTTTCCCCTTTAAAAATATCACATCACTCATTTCTATCACATGTTTAATCATTTATATATTTTTCTCTTCAAAACATCATATCATTCATTTATATCATATATTTAATCATTTAATATTTGATTAATTTGTAGTTAATCATTTAATATTTAATTAATTTGTATATACATGTTAAAAAAATTAAATATAGTGGGATCGATTTTTTGGGCACTCGAATTTTATATTTTATGGTTATAACTAGTCTATAAATAAGACCTCTAAGTAGGGCAGCACTTTATAACATACTACATAGTTTATGCCAAAAAGAAAAAAAAGGGTGTTTTCTATGGTGGAGCTTTGGACCAAACTACTAATGTAGAGTTTGATAGTGTCATATGTTGAATTGTTTTATTCTGGAGGGGGCAAGTCAAATGGTATACCTTACTGTATCGAATTTAGGTTTTGTCATCCAGACTTGAATCTCCTTAAAAAGAGACTTCCGTGCCTCAACCCGAATTGTTTTATATCAAATTTTATTATTTTTTATGTTATTTCTCAATTTATGCAATCACAACAACAATTAAAAAAAAGTCCTTTACACAGAGCGATGTAAGCCACAAGTAAAAGTACTATAAATCAAAACATCCATACATTACTTTTTTGGGTAAATCATCCAAAAATTAGTACCCAAGTAAACAAGAACGATTTAGAATGCTTACGCTTTTGTAGCCGCATATACAGCGTAAAGAGGTTCGGAAGGGATGACAGCAGTACCAGAACCAATATTAACAATAGCACCTCTCTTTCTCTTGAGCATTCCAGGCAAAATCGCCTGTGTAACCTTCGTGATACCTGCAATATTAACCTTAATCAAATCTGCCAACAACTTCTCATCCACTTCATGGTAGAACTTCGCGTACGGATAGCAAATGCCAACATTATTAATCAAAACACCAACATCTAAACCTTCAATAACTTCGCCAATCCGCTGAACACCTTCATTTAAATCGCCAGAAAAATCAACAACCACAGTCTTGATCTGGGTTGATCTATATTTAGCTCGTATCGAATCCGAAACATCCTTTAGTTTGTCAGGGTTTCGACCGACAAGAACCAGACTGAACCCTTGACGAGCTAACTCAAAAGCGAATCCCTTACCAATACCGTCGGTTGGTCCGGTTACGAGTGCCCATGAGCCGTATTTCTTGAGATTCTTAGGAGGTCTGAGGAAATTAACATAGACCCATTTGAGTAGTGATAAAGAACGTTTCAATAATGATAAAAAACCGAGAGCTATTAACAGAAGAAGCCATGGAGGTTGAGATTTGAGCTGGTCCATGAAACAGAGATCCATATGGAAACAGAGTGTTTTTGTTCTTAGAAATCGGTCAGAGACAGAAGAGAGATCGATCTGAGATTCTCAACCTAATCACTTCTAAAAAAATTTCTTTAGGCTCGTACTCGTCACTTAATCAGTCAGATCTGAAATATTACGCGCTAAAACATTTGCCCTCGGTATATATATCTAATATATAAAATAACTTACGAATCAAATATCAAAATATAAATAAAATAATTTTTGTTATTTGTGATTGAGATCGCTTTAAATTTTACTTTAAAATTAATCTAACGGCTAATATTAACACTCTAAATTTAATAGCAAAAATAGGGCCTAAAGATGTATTTGAAGTAACTCTTTAATAATATTTTTAAAAATTATTTCTCATAAATATTTTTAAAAAAAAATAGTGTTTAAAATCGTCTCATTATTACCTCTACCGCCACTGTCACTCCCACCACCGCTGCCGCTGCCACCACCACCATCACCTTACCACCACCACGATCATTACCACTCACCACAACCATCACAATCTCCTACTACCACCAGTGTCGCCCATCACCTCTCAGTCTCACTACAAAACGATACTGAAATTCATTTATTTTTTCTTTATGTTTGTAATTTAATTTTGGATATGAATATAAATATGTTTATTATTTATCATTTTTTATTACTACGTGTCTTCAGGCACAGAAAATAACTAGTTCATTAATAAATTACACTCAATTCCTTTAAAAGTTATAGATATATAATATTTAAACCTTTCAAGTTTAAAATATTATACTTAAATAAAAAATATTTTAATTAAATATAAATATTAAATATTTTAAATTTTGTAACCAAATTTCATGTTCTATTGTATCATTTATTAAAATAAAATTAAAAATAAAAAATTATTTTTTCTTTAAAAATCATAATTAGTATACAATTATACTATCTATTAGAATAAAACTAAAAAATCAAATAAAGGGTCTAAATCATTCATAATATTATTATGCTATTTATTGAAATAAAATCAAAAATAAAAATCTAATTTTTTCTTAAAAAATCATAATTAGTATACAATTATACACTTGATTAGAATAAAATTAAAAAATAAAATAATTGGTCAAACTATAATTGACACAATATTTTTTAACTTTAATTGGAGTAATTTTGTGATTTAATTTGATGGTTTAAACAACAAAATTAAATTCTAATAGATAATATAATTAGATTTTTAATTTTAATTTTATTTCAATAAATGTCATAATAAAACATAAATTTTGATTGTAAAATTTAAAATATTTAATATTCTGTATTTAATTGAAGTATTTTTTATCTAAGTATAATATTTTAAACTTAATAGGTCTAAATATTACATGCTTATAAACTTCAAGGGACTTGAATATAATTTACTAACAAATATAATAAGATCAAAGTATTATGCGCATATAAATTTTGTGAATTTGTGTATAATATTTTAAATATTAAAAAAATTGTGTGATTAAGTGACAAATTTTAGGAGGTTTGAATATAATTCTATCTTATGTTATTCAAAACCTCACGTTTAAACAATAGAAAACTGTAATGAAAGATAAAACAATTGTGTTGGTCAATGATGGTGTTGTGAAGGACCATCGATATGACCCATATGGAAAGAAATAGAGTTCATTCACGCCATAGAAGAAAATTAGAGAAATCCAAAACATGGCATAGTTTTTAATATTAGAAAATACCAAGTGAAGTGCTGGAGATGACAAACAAGCAGTAGAAGAAAGGGGGCGGGGGAATAGAAACAAAGGATGAAGTTGCAGAGGATGATGAATTGACAGAAGAAAAGCTGGAAGAGGACATTGTGAGACAGTTGAAGAGAACAGTGTGCTGAAAAAGATAAAAGTGGATTTGATGCCATGCAGAATTATGCGAATCCTGGAGGAGATTGGTATGCTGTCCTATGAAGTATTACTTATTAATATCAACCGGCTATCTGTAGGAGATCTCATTGCACCTACATTAGAACTAAAGTTAATGTCTTATGCGTACTCTAGACACCAAAAGGTACATTGATGAGACATTTTCAGATACTCCCAGATAACGACACGTGTACTCGGAGTCAATAGAGACTCTTCGATGTGATCCCAACACGTCTTCGTCGGCTTACAACCCCCTGTCCTGAGGATACTATTCACAGGGACCAAGGATCCCCAACACGCCCTGGACTGACACGTATTCCTTGGTAGTTTGGATATATCGATCCTAATCATTCTAGTCCCTCGGCACCGAGGTGTGTCTGTCCACATGGGCGTTGCTGCTCCTATAGGGGCTATTGATGGACAGATCACTAGCTTAGGCTAGGCTAGACTAGCCATCATGACCTCGTCTTACTCAAATGGTGTCAGGAAGCATAGGAAAGCAGAAGGCTCAACCAAAGGGGAATGGACACGTGGCATATTGTGTCACATCAGAGACAAAAAGATCAGAATGCCCTCACTGACACACGACTTGGGAGAATAGGCATTTAATGCATCATTCCCTTAATAAGACAACATTTAATGCATAAGAGCCTATAAGCTAAAGGTAATGAATGTTCCTATGCCTGGGCATTTAATACCTCCCTGCCGAGAGAAGGTCATTAAATGCTCGGCAGGCCGAGGAGAAAGTATTAGTTGTTCGGGGTCCCGAACAGTTATGAATGAGGACATTTCTCATAAAAATTAGTGTGCACACTGCCCACCTCAAATGATTACCTACTAGCTACACTGTCAGTAATGATGAGTTTTGTAAAGTATAAATAGTCCTCACAAACACATTAAGGAGGTACGCAAAAAACCATTTCTCAAGCATCATACAGTGTTTTCTTCTTCTCTTCTCTCAAGGAACTGACTTGATCGTCGGAGGGGATACACCAGAAATCACTTTGGCTCCCTTCTAACTTGTCTTTCTCTGTTCCAGGAACCTCTCTTAGCCTCACAGGACCAATTTGGTGACCCACAGGAACTATTCATTACCATTTCTCAGGCCACCTCCGGCCCTTACGACCTGTTCCAAGTAGCAAGATTGACCACTCGATTAACGGACTCGTGTTCACCATTGAAGAGATTTGTTCTTGTGTTTATATTGTGCAAGATCGTGCATACATAATCTGGCGCTATCTGTGGAAAACGACTAGTTTTCCTAGTTTCTTTTCTAGAAAAAATAGTGATCATGATGAATACTCGACAGAAAGGGAAAGATCCCCAGCAAATAAGTCTCAAGTTACAAGCTCCTCATTATAATGAGGGGAGGGATCACGCTGGTGACAACAGGAACGTTTCTATTCAGTCAAGGGGGGATACTCCTTAAACCAGTATGGGCATTGGGTCAGGAGGATCCGCCCCCTTGGCTAGTCAACTGGCGGAAGTGATTGAAGAAAAGTTTGAGAATTGACTACGGCAGTTAGAAAAAGATAATGTGAATGTCCGAAGTCGGCTCAACAAATTTGCAACCCCCGGCGAAGGATCGAGGGACTCATTCCATTCCCGCGGACGCTCCGTCCGGGAAGCAAAAACTGAGGACCTAAGGAATCATTTAAACGACAAAGCTGAGAGTTCCAGGGTCCCAAAGCGCCCGAGAGTCAATAAGCACCCCCTCGATGGTCATTCCAGGAAGGCAAGGCCTTTAGTTTGGGATGACCTTCAGCGAGGACTGTCAAGGCGCGGGAAGGGGGATGGGTCCGAGGAGGATTCAACCCTTTCCACGCGACACCCAGAGAAGAGAAATCCCTTCAATGACCTTAGAAACCTCAAAGGACATCCCCCTGAGGTGGAAACTGATCTCAGAGCTCGGCTGAAATCCAGAGGGAGGGGTAAGACTGTCCAGGACGATGCAGAAGATGAGGTCATGTAATCCCCTTTTACCAGGGTTATCCATGAGATGGAGGTACCAAAGAAGTTCGTCGTGCCAAGGTTCAAAACTTATGATGGGCGATCAGATCCCGAAGCTCACCTCAGGCAATACAAGTAAATTATGTCCCTGTATCACTCGGACCAACGACTCCTCTGCCGAGTGTTCTCCATGAGTTTGAGAGATTCCGCTATGAAGTGGTTCAAGATTCTTCCTCCCAACAGCATTGGGTCATGGAAGGAGTTGACGAGGCAGTTTTTAGCCCAATTCATAACGGGGAGTAAGCGGCCCAAAGATATTGGATCATTACTGATGCTCAGGTGGAGGGAACAGGAAACCCTTCGTCAGTACGCCATCAAGTACTGGGAGGATGTCAATAAGGTAGTGGGATGTTCGGAAGTCATAACAGTCGCATCCTTTAGGCTTGGCCTGGCAAGAAAGACGGACATGTACCGATCCCTGACCAAGAGGACTCCCTTAGATATAGGCGAATTGATGGCCTGGATAAATAAATACTCTAGGATTGAAGATGAAATGGGGGGCGACCAAGGCAAAACTCTCGCCCCTAGGAGAAAAGAGAGGGGGCAGGAGGACATCTCCCGAAAGGGGCTGGTACCCCCTCCAGGAGGGGCATTTAAGGGTGTTCACACTGTGTTCAAGGAACCCATCTACAAGTTGTTTTATAAAATCAAGTATGAGTCATTCTTCAAGTGGCCGCTTAGGATGCAGAGTGATCCTTCCACCTGTGATCAAAAAGTGAAGTGCTCCTATCACCGGGATTTTGGTCATCGCACCGAAGATTATAGAGTGTACAAATCTTTCTTGGAAAGGCTGGTCTAGGATGGTTACTTGAAGAATACATCGAATCCAAGTCGGAGGAGGGACATGCCTCTTCCCTGACTGTGGCGTAAGATAACGTCATAGACGTAATCCACATGTGTCCACTAGATCGCCCAACGTCCAAAGAGCTTGAGTCCAATCTCAAGAAGATAGCCCTTACGAGAAAGGTTGCCGAGAGCAATAGGGGCCCACCCAGCAAGAGGGGCAGGACTGGCGAGCCGGGTATCACGTTCTCCGACGCGGACTTGACAGACGTGGTGACTCCCCATAACGACGCCCTAATCATAACTCTAAAAATAGACAAGTTCGATGTCAAGAGGGTGTTGGTAGATTTTGAAAGTTCCTCTAAGGTGATGTACTCCGAAACCTTAAAGCGGGTCGACTTTAGCCTCAAGGACCTCACTAAGGTTAGGACGCCTCTCATCGAATTTAA